AACTTTAGGATCTGCCGGCACAATTGTCCATTAAAAATAAATTTATTTATGTCTCTGACATAATTCTTTTACGATGATGGTTTTCTTCTCTTATTTAACATATACCTATCTATTTTAGCCTAAAAGCCAAGTCAGTTTTATTCAATAATGTATCATGGTTCGTAACACAAGATCTAAATTGGCTGTAAATCAACACGACCATTGGCTACGTCAGTTAAAAAGAGAATGACATGCTTCTTTTCTTCCTTTACATTTTGTAGATGTTGCTTTTATTTTGGACAGGGTAATATACTATAAATAAATGTCTACCTTCTTTTGACAAAGATGCGAAGTGTATGACTCTAAATATATATTAACTATAATTGCAAATAAGCAGATGACTATAAATACAGAATCCCACCTTTTCACCAAACTTTAGTCCTAGTACGGACTCCGTCAGAAATTAGTGAGCTAAAGTGGGAAGCCACCACCACTTCTGCTAGTTCTCGAATTTCAATTGCCAAGAGTATTGTTACTATTAACAAGAACACCGCTAATGTTCTGGTGGTCAACTTGACACTACGGTGGAGCTATATTCGTCCTGGACAGAAACTGGCTCTTCTTGATCCTTTTCTTATAGTTCTGATCTGCAAAGATCTGATGGCTCACTTCAAGAGCTTCATGATGCATCTACATTTATTACACAGGGATCACCAGAGCCTGCATCAAAAGAAGGACAGAATAATTTATCGATTACATTCAAGAAATTCGATGAGTATATTGAAAGAACCAGAAGAAAACCTAAACAACAAGATCATATATCACATTACATTAAAAGTGAAAAATTAAGAAGTAAACGAGATACAGATGTTGGAGAAGGAGATTTCGGTTCGTCTTTATCGGTTTTTGCTAATAATCAAAGTTCAGTTGAGAGACTGGAGCCTTTGACTACCATTGTAGTTCGTTCTTTAGCTGAGAGAACCGATCCTGAGCATATTGCGCTAGTCGATTCCCAATTCTGTTCACAAACAACCGAGAAACAAATAGAATCGCTCGGTGATTTTGCAGTAATAGCTGATGATTGGCTAACTAAACTTGATCCTTGGCCTTTTCTCGAAGCAAGAAAAACAGTTGCAGCGGCTTCTCTCTCAATATTCGGATATTTTCTCATCGAAACCAGGCCGTACTGATGTAGTTGAACATCACATTGATGTTGGTGATGCCAGACTCATCAAACAAGGTCCTTATCGTCTCTTAAACCCGGAGAGAAAGACAGAATGCACTCGACAGACTACTGAGATGCTAAAAAGCGATATAATCGAGCCTAGTTTTGGACCATGGGCCAGTCCTGTTACCCTGGTCCCAAAAAAAGATGGTACACTTCGTTTCTGCATTGATTTTCGAAAACTGAACGAGGTTACCGTCAAAGATACCTATCCAATTCCCAGAATAGACGATACACTTGAAGCACTTAAAGGTGCGAAATATTTCAGTACTCTTGATCTCTCTTCTGGGTTTTGGCAGGTTGAATTGGACGAAGGCAGCAAGGAAAAGACTGCTTAGGTCACCCATGAAGGCATTTTTCAGTTTAAAGTCATGCCATTTGGGCTGATTAATGCACCGGCTGATCAGGATTCTTACTTTAGTGGGAAAGAAATAACGTCAGAATCCCGAAGAAAGTCTAAAAGAAAATCTTCTTCTACACGATCAACTGTTCTCACTTCACCGGCAACTTTACAGGTAACAGTAAATGATTCGATCACGCGCTTTAGTGGTAGGGCAAGTGAACAGCCGAATAGGTTTCTACATGAGTATCAACAAAAGATGCGGACATTATTTCGTGCTAGTGACTCGCAATTACTACGAAGTATCAGTAACTGGCTCACAGGCGCGGCTAGTGAGTGGTATTTACAACTTTCCCAGAGTCATCGTTTGCCGGATATGTGACATGAGTTCAAAAAGTTATTCTTGTCTCGTTTTCGTAGTCCTGAAAGGATAGAGGCTTTCAAAATCGAACGTAACCGTTGCGTTCAAAAAGAAAATGAAACCGCAGCTGATTTCTATCAAAGATACTTGAGTCTAAGTTTGGAAATTAATCCAAAACCCAAAGAAAATTCACTAAAAAAATACTTTCTTCGAAAATTGAGACCAGAACTTGTTCTTTGGATGAATGACCAATGCACCGGCTACTATCCAGCGTCTCATGGACCTTGTTCTACGAGGACTGAAATGGAGCTGTTGCATGGTCTATTTAGATGATGTTATAATTTATTCACCAACTTTTGAACAACATCTAATAGGCATTGACAATGTTTTTAATCGAATAAAAGAAAGTGGTCTTACATTAAAACCGTCAAAATGTTTCTTTTGCCGCCATGAATTAAAATATCTAGGCTACATTATTAGTGCTGTTGGCATTCGTCCCGATCCAGATAAATTAGAGGCGGTCCGGTCTTTTCCCGTACCATTTAAACCTAAAGGTGTACTAGCCTTCTTGGGTCTTAGGGGTTATTATCGGCGTTTTATCAAAAATTACGCTGAGATTGCTGAGCCTCTTTTCGATCAGAGAAAAGCATAATCCTGTTTTTGTATTTACTCCTGATTGTCAGCGAGCTTTTGATCTACTAAAAGAACGCCTTATTTCCGCACCCGTTGTCACATATCCGAATTTTGATTATCCGTTTATACTTCAATTAGATGCATGTGACTACGGACTCGGTGCTGTGCTTGCCCACAATATTGGGGATATTGAACATGTCATAGCTTATTGCCAGCAGGAGACTGCAGCCTTGTGAAAGAAAGTATTCTGCATCTGAGCGTGAATGTCTAGCTATTGTTTGGGGTACTCAACATTTTAGACCTTATCTTGAAGGATGGCCATTTGAAGTGTGGACTGACCATTGGTCCTTGACTTGGTTGAAAAATATAAAGGATCCAACCAGCCGTCTGACCAGATGGGCCATGAAACTTGACGCTTATGACACGGTCATTAAGCATCGACCGGGAAAGGCAAACTCTAATACCGACACTCTGTCACGGTATCCCCTCAAAACTGAGTTAATAGGTGTTTTACAGAGTGATGGTATTATGATAGGTCCTTTAGAAGAAAGGCAGGAAGTTGCAGTTAATCTTTGGGACAGTTGCTGTGTTCTAAAAGACATAAAACTGGCACAGCGGCAGGACACAGATCTCCGTTCTCTTATTTCTTTCATTCAAGATGATATTCGTCCTGATGACGAAGTTCTTCTTAGAAAACTAGAAGGACAAGCTAGAGTTCACCGGGTAATCGACCGAAAGTTATATCGGATCCGCAAAATAGAAGAAAATTCACCTTTGAGAAATAATCTCAGTCCACATCTTTTAGTTATTCCAAAATCTAAACGCACAGAACTTCTTCAGTTAGCTCATGACCATCCTATTTCAGGTCATCTTGGTCGTCGAAAAACCCTACATCGACTATCACTTCGCTTTCATTGGGACGGAATGACACGTGATGTTGCGCATTATGTAAGATCTTGCGACCTCTGCCAACGTTTTAAGGCTGCAAACGAAAAGAAAGCAGGTTTAATGCAATCTCATGTAGTACAATCACCTTGGCACACTATCGGTGTTGATCTAACTGGTCCTCTACCTAGAACTCCACGAGGAAGTGCATATATCTTAGTTGTAGTTGATTATTTCACAAAATGGATAGAACTTTTTCCTTTAAAGACCATTAAGTCGAGAGATATTGCTCAACTATTGCATGACGAAGTCATTTACCGTCACGGCGTTCCTGTTGAAATTGTTTTGGATAACGGAGCACAATTTGTCGCCGACATTTTTCGAGAGACTTTAAAGATCATGGGTATCAGACATCGAACGACCGCTCTTTATCATCCACAATTAAATTTATCTGAGCGTGTCAACCGGACGTTAAAGCCCATGCTGGCTATCTTTGCCCAACATGATAAAAAGTCTTGGGATTTGCGATTGCCGCAGCTAGCATTGGCGATCAGAGCGGCCATTAATGAATCGACTGGCCAAAGTCCAGCATTTCTAATGTACGGTCGAGAACTTAAGTTACCACTCGATCTTATGTACGGTCCTAAAGCAGATGACCTTGACGAGTTAAAATCATCTGAAGAAGCTCGAGCCTACACTGAACGGCTTAAGATCATTCTCGCCTCTGCATATCAGTCGGCCAGAGAAAATCTGGAAATTGCTCAACAAGGACAAAAGTTCCTCTATGATCAGCATCGTAAAGATGTTCACTTTTCTGAAGGTGACCTTGTTCTGATGGCTAACGCCTCAGGATCAGCGTTAGGCAAATGGGCTCTCCCTAAACTTGCACCTAAATGGATCGGTCCTTTTCGGATTGCACGGAAGATTGGTTCTCTAGACTACGAACTGGTTTCTTTAGAGGATGGTGCGGTTCTTTCGCCTATCCACATAGAAAGACTGCAACCGTATCATCGTTCATCGCCGGTTCTAGTCCCGCATGCATAAGGGAACTAATCTTAGCCTCTGACTGTATATATAAATTCTTATATCTTATAGCTCTGCACTTCTTTTCGCTAGATTTTGCATCTTCGTGTTATATTGCAGTGCGCAATATCACTAGCTGTTTCAGTTGCATTGTTTACACTTCCTCTTGTCATTTTATTACGCATTACGTTAATTTAGTACAAATACAAAATCTTCTTAAAAAACTTTTTGTTTACACGAATACTTAGTCCACAGCATTTTCTCCTCTTTCTATAGTTCGAGCATGTCGAAGCTAATTGGCAATCCATCTTGGCCAATAAAAAGATAGTCATGGTTTTCTACTGGGCTACTGTGGTATCATAACGACATCGGTTATCTCGCGGAGTCATTTGTTATGGCTTAAACATATGAAAAGATAGAAGAGAAAAAAGAGAACATGCATCTTCTACGGAATGAAGTTTATGATTATTTAGGAACAGTTACATTTTGTTAATGTAACCTGTAATATATAAAATATGATAATAAATAAACGAACAGTCAAGAAGATTAAACTTCTGAATTATAGTTATAATGTTAAGAGTTCCCATTCGTTTTAGAAGATACTTAGTTCATGTTTTCTTCTTGGTTAGTGAGTCTCAGGAATTCCATCTTTTCCTCGTCTTCGTTCTCAACTGTGGAGTCACAATGTTCCTAAGGGAGAGAGAAAAACATTTTTTTCAAGTTTTTTAGGTCTAGACCGCATCTTTATACAACACCCAATTCTGTTCTACCAACAACATCAGTTATTATTAGTTTAATGATAAAAGTTTTGTACAACAATAAAATCTGTTTGTACAACGTTGGTAACACAAGTTAATGTCTAATTAATATAAGCTGATAAGAATATTCTTCTTTGTTGTCCCAAGGAGAATATGGTGGAATCCAATATAATCTATTATGAGATCGAGATGTTGATGTGGAGGAGGAGGAATGAAAATTAGCTCATGAACACAAGTTTAGCAAAAGAAAATACTAAATTATAGAAATATAAAATATTAAATTAAATATAAAATTTAATTTGTAAATTCACTTATATATATCGTTAAAGGTCCTTCTTCCCTGTATAGACGAGAAGAAGAAGAGATAGTTAAAATTTATTTAATGAGAGACTCCTTCGCTGAATGTACGAGAAGGAGAAGAGATTTGAATTTGAAGATTTTATTAAGAAGAATGTTTAAGAAAAGAGATGTGAACACGAAGATTAAAGTTGAGAATAATTATTAGTTTTAAATTTACTCGTGAATACAACTCGTTTTTCGTGTAACCGAGGAACAGGAAATATTAATGAATAAAATAAATTATTCCTTAATATTTTAATATTCTTATTCTCTTTCTCTCAAAAACCCACGAAGCTTTGAAGTTGCAAGAATTTCTAGAATATGCGATAGGATCATCGAAGAAGAATAATGTAATGGCGATGAGCCGTTACACCGTCCAGCTAATTCTGAAATATAAGGATTTATGCTTCTCTCTAAGATCATAAGAACACCTGAAAAAAACGTTTGAGAAAATATTTTTTGCTTTTTACAGCATTTACGTAAATTTCATTCTAACTCCATTTTCTCTCCAGAAGCTCTCATCTTTGTTATTGTTATGCAATAAGTAATGCGTGAAAATCCTTCCGGTTTACTCACACTGCTAAATATGCGCGAGGAAGGCAAACAGTACCCTGTGGGCACCCACCAGTTTCACACTATTTTTTATCTTTAGGAGAGATAATATTCTTTGTGACTCGCTGTCATCTACCCTCCGCCGCTTTTAGTTATTGTCTCTTTTAGGGCCAAGCGATAGGAACATGTAAGGGAAGGTGTCAAAATTCGCATCGCTGAATTTATACACCGGTGACCGGATTAGAGAGAAAATTGAATGTAGTATTATTGTTCAATCTGACTGAAAATAAGAATGTGGAGCTATCGTTGCCACATAAGAAAAAGAAAATATATATATGTATATATTTTTGTACTGTACTTGACTTAATTGAACAGTGTATTTAACGAGCATCAATTGATATTACAAAATTATTTTAACCAACATCTATTATTAACCGAAGAATATCATAGGAAATTACGTCGATTATTTTTGCAGGATGGTTTTCAGCTTTTTTCTCTAGTTTTAAATCATTGGTATAGTT